TGCTTTCAATACTTAAAAATAATATTTTACATTGCTCAAGGTCATAACAATAAATGTACCAGAACAGAAATAAATGCATTAATACATTCGTTTGATTTCACTTTGCTTGGTCTTCACTGACTGACTGCAGACTACTGCCCTCTAGCGGCTCCCGTAAGTACTACTACCACATCACAAGCCTCTCCCTTAGAGCAAGTTATGCTAGATCCTTATCCCCTTTGTTTACAGATACTTTTTCAGAATTATGGATATGTAACAACTGAAAAAAGTATTCACAGTGGTCGACAATGTTTATAAATAATAAACTGTATCTCTGTGGTTTTGGATCTTTTTGTGAATTCCTACTCTATTTTTCCACTTTCTTAAATGCTTTTTTAAGTTAACTCTTCAGGACATTTTTAAGTATAGGAAAATATTTTATTTATATAAAAAGACATTGTTAATAATTGAAGCATTACTAAAAGGGTTTGTAATTTATTTCTCACATGGCAAAATGATAGAATCAAGCCACATTGACATTACAAGATAGTATTTCTCGGATTTCAATAAAAGCAATATTCATTCATTCTAGGTTTAAATCATTTACTGCAATATATTGGTCTCATTTTTGACAATTTTCTTTCAATACCCAGTGTTAGCCTGCCCTTTTCACTCTATTAAAAAAGTCTAATTGTTGAGGCAAGATCTCAAATGTTTGATTTTTTAAAAACACCACCACTGACATTTAAAAATGTCAAGTGTGGCAACATCACTTATGTCTTCCAATTTTAGAATTGGCAAAAGCATTCCACCTGCATCTAGTTTCACAGATTTTCTTCTTTGTGAACTGAATGAAAATAAAAAACACGAAGCATATTTTGATATAGTACACCTACATTTATTGATACAGTCATGGCTAACACAGTAAAACAGCGGTAGGTGAATTTTGTGCATGGACTGAAGTTGGAGCACAGGAGTGAAGGGGAGGGAGGAGAGACATCCTACAAAATATCACTCTGAAAATAACTAAGCATTGTTTTCATCAATTTCTTCTACATTTCTGTTTCAAAGTTTAACACTCATCTCTTTTAGATACATTTACATTGTGTCACATAACAGGCAATCTTCCATTTCATTATCCATGATATTTCCCCTTTTTTTGCACAAAAATATCATAACAATATTCTCTGTCCTACATACTGTTGTGACGATGGAGAAGGGGGTGCTTAACCCATGAAGTGCTCCAACCTCTCCCGCAGCCTTGATATATACTTGTGTTGGTAAATACAAAGACCCGGGCTCAAAGGATTACAAAGCTTATAATATAATATATAGATAGATGTATATTTATAGATAGATAGATAGATAATGTATATACAATTAAAATGCATAATGCTAACCCATATTCAGGACTTATGAGCACTCTACTCAATTTTACATACTCATAAAATCCTGGTTATCGGTTTGCGTTACTCCTGAGACATCCAAACTCCTGTATTTGTTGTACTTCACCCCTCCCCCCACCCAAACCAGTTGTTCTACAGCTTTACATAATTATCATCATCAATAATAATAATAATAATAATAATAATAATAATAATAATAATCAAAGTTGTTGTTTTACAAGTGCTCTCTATGCTGACTGTATACCATTATTGCAAATACATAACATCTACCTCCGGGCACTACGGTGCAGGGGCCAGTAACTTCTGTATATTTGAACAGGTCTCTGAACTATAATACAACAAAGTGGCTAATCATGAGGTAGAATGGAGGAAATCTTTACCACCAGATGGTGCTGGAGCCAAATCCCATTACTAAAAATGCATCTTAAAAACGATGTATCTTGTTCTAAAAAAATATAGGAACCAGTGTATCTGAGAGAACCACGACTTAAATCTCAATTTTAAGTTCACAAACTGCTCCTTAATCGGGCTATCTAGTTTCCTTATTATTTCAAATGTGCAAAAATACCATTATCTCTTAACCAAGTGACAAAGCTTTCCCCAAATAGAACATGCTTAATTCTTCCCAGCATGTGCTGCATGCCAGGATATTTAGTTTGCACCAACAGTGCTGCCACCTGTGAACTTAAAAACATGACAACCCCAGCCCAATTTTTGAAAATGACAGGCACATAATGTGCATTGTTCCACTTTTTCTTCTGCAGACTTAACATTAACTAAGAGCATATTTAATGAAATCAACTTCTGTACATCTACTTTCTTTTCAACTTGTTTTGACTTTTTGCAGGTTTCTACAACATTTGCCTTTGCTGCCTTTAATTCAACTTGACTTATACCAAGCAAGTCTATGGTGTATGCTGAAGAAGACCAGTTAGCTTTACCATGAAAAAATGGAAGTACAGAGGATCATCTAACCAAGTACACTTTTGTTTCCAAAAATAAATAATTAAACTAAATTAGAATTATTTACAAAGAAATTAACTTCTGCTTAACTAATGTCATATAATGATGTATAATTAATCGAAGAACCAAAAGATTTTAATTATGAAAATAAATGAAAAAAAAATAATAATAATTAAACGATCCACATCACATTTACACATCATTATCATAACATGCAACTATATTTTGATAATACTTACACACTGTAGAGAATTTATACAAATCCAACACCAATGAATAGGTATCTTACAGCCCTGTTGAAATTCTACTAAGTCCAATATATGACACCAAATGTTGCTTATGTAGCAAAGAATGAACAAGGGTACACCTTCAATAAATCTTAATATAATAATTCATGAAAATGTTTGAAATATTTAAATGTACAGTATGTTATGAATAGGAATTTCTTGGTTAACCCTTACCCTCCTATGCAGTGCTCAGCTTCTTGTCCAGTGCTTGTATACACATGACAATAGGAGAGAAAGTGTTAGCCCTCAGAATTTGTCTTTCTGAACCATTTCATTGTACATAAATTGATAAATTACTTCTTATAATTTTAAAACTGGACTCAGTTGACATACAGCATCTCCTACATAAATGCAAATAGCCACTGTTGCTATTAAGGGTATGTCAATCAACATTTTTATTCGTTTCCTCCAGAAAACATTCATCTGAGGTAGGCCTTACAATCCATAACAGTATGATATAAAACATAGGCACTGTATCAAAACTCGCATTTGGACGTGATACATATCCCGCTTCTAGATCTCAAGGTCTGACCATCCCGGTACTGTGGCCAGCAACTCACAATAGGATAAAAACTCAACATAATCATAATAATGATAATAAAAACATAAAACAATACATTTAAACTTCAAATACTTCACGATAAAATAACCCGGGATATGTTGATATTTTTTGTAGTTTAAAGAACAGTACTACAATAATAACATAGATCAGTGAAATGCGTGGACCCCTCTCGGTCCATGAACTTCCACCCTCTTCCACTGTTATTGTAAGCTGCAATATGTAAATATAGTAATACAGGACTGTACAGCAATATTATAATTATCATGTATAATAAAAATCAGTCACAACTGCCTTCCAAGGAGTTTTACCCGTAATACATGCACCGAAGTGCTCAGTTCCTCAAAGGCACCTCACAACTGTCACCTCGTTGCTTGCAGTGCTATTACCACATTCCCTGCAACAAGGTGGCATGCTTCCTTGTTCTTAGGGATACCACAATATATACAATGTGATGCCATGTTATCTTCTTATAAGAATGTCAATGTCAAATATATAATTCTTGTAGTTTATGAAAGCTTTCAGAGCCATCATTGTCTGATTCACTAACACTGCTCCAATGTTCCATAACAACAAATCACTTATTCAATAAGCCTTTTCAGAAACTCAGGACTTTGATATTTCAATCAACTCATCAGAAGAGCATTTTCATCTTTGAGATAAAGAATTGCATTCTCTCCAATTAGCCACTATCTATCCCTCTTTTCAACAATGTTGCATAAAATAGTCCTTTCACCAGAGTGAAAATGAATGAACATTAACTGGAAAACTGCCAACAATTTTTGTAAATTGCTATCTTATTTTCTTTGTGTTTATCCATTCATTCTACAATCTGTGGGTAATCAGACATCCCTCATTTCAATTCATGGATAGATAACATTTCTGTACTTCAGTAATTATTCCCAAGTTTCAAAATTATAACTTTTTTTGTTAATTTTNGGGAGGAGAGACATCCTAAAAAATATCACTCTGAAAATAACTAAGCACTGTTTTCATCTATTTTCAATTTCTTCTACATTTCTGTTTCAAAGTTTAACACTCATCTCTTTTAGATACATTTACATTGTGTCACATAACAGGCAATCTCCCATTTCATTATCCATGATATTTCCCCTTTTTTTTGCACAAAAATATCATAACAATATTATCTGTCCTACATACTGTTGTGACGATGGAGAAGGGGGCGCTTAACCCATGAAGTGCTCCAACCTCTCCCGCAGCCTTGATATATACTTGTGTAGGTAAATACAAAGACCCGGGCTCAAAGGATTACAAAGCTTATAATATAATATATAGATAGATGTATATTTATAGATAGATAGATAGATAGATAGATAATGTATATACAATTAAAATGCATAATGCTAACCCATATTCAGGACTTATGAGCACTCTACTCAATTTTACATACTCATAAAATCCTGGTTATCGGTTTGCGTTACTCCTGAGACATCCAAACTCCTGTATTTGTTGTACTTCACCCCTCCCCCCACCCAAACCAGTTGTTCTACAGCTTTACATAATTATCATCATCAATAATAATAATAATAATAATAATAATAATAATAATAATCAAAGTTGTTGTTTTACAAGTGCTCTCTATGCTGACTGTATACCATTATTGCAAATACATAACATCTACCTCGGGGCACTACGGTGCAGGGGCCAGTAACTTCTGTATATTTGAACAGGTCTCTGAACTATAATACAACAAAGTGGCTAATCATGAGGTAGAATGGAGGAAATCTTTACCACCAGAGGGTGCTGGAGCCAAATCCCATTACTAAAAATGCATCTTAAAAACGATGTATCTTGTTCTAAAAAAATATAGGAACCAGTGTATCTGCGAGAACCACGACTTAATTCTCAATTTTAAGTTCACAAACTGCTCCTTAATTGGGCTATCTAGTTTCCTTATTATTTCAAATGTGCAAAAATACCATTATCTCTTAACCAAGTGACAAAGCTTTCCCCAAATAGAACATGCTTAATTCTTCCCAGCATGTGCTGCTTGCCAGGATATTTAGTTTGCACCAACAGTGCTGCCACCTGTGAACTTAAAAACATGACAACCCCAGCCCAATTTTTGAAAATGACAGGCACATAATGTGCATTGTTCCACTTTTTCTTCTGCAGACTTTACATTAACTAAGAGCATATTTAATGAAATCAACTTCTGTACATCTATTTTCTTTTCAACTTGTTTTGACTTTTTGCAGGTTTCTACAACATTTGCCTTTGCTGCCTTTAATTCAACTTGACTTATACCAAGCAAGTCTATGGTGTCGTCTATGGTGTATGCTGAAGAAGACCAGTTAGCTTTACCATGAAAAAATGGAAGTACTGAGGATCATCTAACCAAGTACACTTTTGCTTCCAAAAATAAATAATTAAACTAAATTAGAATTATTTACAAAGAAATTAACTTCTGCTTAACAAATGTCATATAATGATGTATAATTAATTGAAGAACCACAAGATTTTTATTATGAAAATAAATGAAAAAAAAAGAAATAATAATTAAATGATCCACATCACATTTACACATCATTATCATAACATGCAACTATATTTTGATAATACTTACACACTGTAGAGAATTTATACAAATCCAACACCAATGAATAGGTATCTTACAGCCCTGTTGAAATTCTACTAAGTCCAATATATGACACCAAATGTTGCTTATGTAGCAAAGAATGAACAAGGGTACACCTTCAATAAATCTTAATATAATAATTCATGAAAATGTTTGAAATATTTAAATGTACAGTATGTTATGAATAGGAATTTCTTGGTTAACCCTTACCCTCCTATGCAGTGCTCAGCTTCTTGTCCAGTACTTGTATACACATGACAATAGGAGAGAAAGTGTTAGCCCTCAGAATTTGTCTTTCTGAACCATTTCATTGTACATAAATTGATAAATTACTTCTTATAATTTTAAAACTGGACTCAGTTGACATACAGCATCTCCTACATAAATGCAAATAGCCACTGTTGCTATTAAGGGTATGTCAATCAACATTTTTATTCGTTTCCTCCAGAAAACATTCATCTGAGGTAGGCCTTACAATCCATAACAGTATGATATAAAACATAGGCACTGTATCAAAACTCGCATTTGGACGTGGTACATATCCTGCTTCTAGATCTCAAGATCTGACCATCCCGGTACTGTGGCCAGCAACTCACAATAGGATAAAAACTCAACATAATCATAATAATGATAATAAAAACATAAAACAATACATTTAAACTTCAAATACTTCACGATAAAATAACCCGGGATATGTTGATATTTTTTGTAGTTTAAAGAACAGTACTACAATAATAACATAGATCAGTGAAATGCGTGGACCCCTCTCGGTCCATGAACTTCCACCCTCTTCCACTGTTATTGTAAGCTGCAATATGTAAATATAGTAATACAGGACTGTACAGCAATATTATAATTATCATGTATAATAAAAATCAGTCACAACTGCCTTCCAAGGAGTTTTACCCGTAATACATGCACCGAAGTGCTCAGTTCCTCAAAGGCACCTCACAACTGTCACCTCGTTGCTTGCAGTGCTATTACCACATTCTCTGCAACAAGGTGGCATGCTTCCTTGTTCTTAGGGATACCACAATATATACAATGTGATGCCATGTTATCTTCTTATAAGAATGTCAATGTCAAATATATAATTCTTGTAGTTTATGAAAGCTTTCAGAGCCATCATTGTCTGATTCACTAACACTGCTCCAATGTTCCATAACAACAAATCACTTATTCAATAAGCCTTTTCAGAAACTCAGGACTTTGATATTTCAATCAACTCATCAGAAGAGCATTTTCATCTTTGAGATAAAGAATTGCATTCTCTCCAATTAGCCACTATCTATCCCTCTTTTCAACAATGTTGCATAAAATAGTCCTTTAACCAGAGTGAAAATGAATGAACATTAACTGGAAAACTGCCAACAATTTCTGTAAATTGCTATCTTATTTTCTTTGTGTTTATCCATTCATTCTACAATCTGTCGGTAATCAGACATCCCTCATTTCAATTCATGGATAGATAACATTTCTGTACTTCAGTAATTATTCCCAAGTTTCAAAATTATAACTTTTTTTGTTAATTTTAAAAACATTCCGTCTCACAAGACCCCAATATTCAAGAAAAGTGGAGTATATATTTGTGGTATTACAAACAAAACATCATTTTGGAAATTATTCTGTCAATCTTGTTCGAATAAGGCAAGCAAACATACAACTGTCTTATCTCCCTAAGCTTAACTTTCCCTTTCTAATTGCACACAAAACGGACGTCGCACCTGAGTCAATCAATAAACTACACATACCTCGAGCAACTAACGTCACTGAAATTAATCACTTTCAATGCATTTGCCAACACAAAGACGAAGAGAATCCCTGCAAGTATACAAATCTTTCAGGCTATGTTGAATGTTCAATATACAACGCCTCCGTCTCGCATCAAGAATGACACTAATCCATGTTCAATGTGGTATATACTTCCACCACAGGTAACACAAAACAATAAATAAAGAACTGGTATTGCTTCTTACTTTTTTTCCAAAATGGATGAGCCGAGGTCAGACAGTTTACTTTTTTTTTCTACTCAAATGGATGGGTCTAAAAGAAGATACATTTCTTTTCCGGGATTTTGTTCATCGAAAACAATCTAGTGTGCCAGCAAGTCCCAAATATACCATTCCCCGAACACTTGAAACAAATACTGCTGAGCCAGTGGTTTCCAGTTAAAAACAATGTGTGAGCAGATTAGAAGAACCACTTCCCTGTGAATGCAGTTTTTATCTCAACATCTCAATCTCAAGGAGGTAAAGCATTTGAGGTTGAATCAATTGACGAGGTAAAAATGTTATGAAATCCGAGTGCACCCATATCTGATGCAATAACCTTAAAACATACTGTTGTTATATGCCAAACAGTACACGTAATAATCTTGATACATCTGAACACAGGTAATTGGTGACTTAAGTTGTTTTCAATGTACTGCTGGACTTAAAATTTATTACAGTAAACTTCGGCTGGTTTAATGAGAATACAGGTGGAGCTCTTCAGTCTTGATACATAACTGGCTCAGAATGTACAAGACCGAGAATAGTTCCAGCAGTATTCTAAGAAAACCAGCTTGTAACATCTTCAATTGCTAATATTTTATACACCAGGTTAAACTTTTCACATAAAATGGGACCGAATGAATAACCAACACAGGGAGGGTCTGCATGTCCACCAAAAAATAAAATATACATATAATAAGTTGCTTCGGAAGCAACAGGTAAGAGGTCAAAAGTGTTAAAATGTTTGGCAATTACTCACAAAGACTGAATGAAACTGACACCTGTTACTTTCCAAAATAATATTTTGTTTGCGCTCTCAAAAGGTACCATTCAAAAACTTAAAACAAGGAGCTGGATGCAACTTTGAAAAATGTTTCCCGTTCTGTAACTAAAAAACAATTCATGTTGGAATAAGAGAAAATTCAAAGGTAAAATGTTATTTTGAGTTTGTGAATAATTACCTGAGGAAATTCAGACTTCCACGCCACTAAAATGATGGCCTTTTTTACACCCAAGTCTGAAACAGAAACTGCTTTCCAGCAGCACACTTTTCATAACTTGATTGTGTGTGTGTGTGATTACAGTATGGAGGAGACTGCTAGATGATATCACCCGATTCCTCTTAACTCAAACCCAGATATACACCAGTTTATCCCGTTTTGAACCATAATCATTCACCAAGCCTGCTAGACCTACTTCTGCCTCAGGCCAACTTAAATGCTTTTAGTTGGCATTTCTATTATTTAACCCTATTTTCTTTGTTGTAGACTTCTGTGAAAATATCCATTCTTTTTCCCCTCACTTACAGTTAGTAAAATTGAACAGATCACAAGCCAGCTTACAGAATTGCACTTCTACTGGTCATATGTGCCCAGTGATAGCCATTTTGCCTAGCATGTCCACTCCTTCACTTGCATCCACATAATATATAGTGCTGCTTATGCTGCAGCATTGTTCCAAGGCAGTAGATAGTGAGACTGTGGAAAGAGTTTCATAGGTCTCTTCTTTACCACTTCACATTCCATCAAGGGCACTTGGCTATAATATTATCTCAGCCAATACCCCCCTCAGCTGGCATTTTGTCATAGGCAACATCAGATCTTGACCAAGTCTCTCAACATGACACTCAACTCTCTCTTTTTAAAAAACTCCCCGTTTCATTTACCCCCCCCCCCCCTCCCCCATTTCTCGGCCATAAGGTGCAGGGATACATAGTCTGTGGAAACACAGAAGTCCCTAAGTGCTGCTAGGTCACAGGGTCACATTGCCTTCATGTTTACACACAGGAGGACCACCGTCTTTGAAGGGAGAGCTATGTACAAGTCAGTTCCCTGTAATCTCATCATCCAAGAATCTAGACATAAGTACAACTAATGCAACCTATATATATATCACTATATCTATGTTTCTTTCTATATATATATATTACTATATATAAGGCAAGTGAACATCATAAATCAGTTGGTGACTTTTTACACAGCGCCATTACTGTACATATCTGAGGTATGGGTTCACCGGTTTCTTGCTCCATAGCAACTCCATGGCAACAGTTGTCATGGCAATGCCATGGTCATACACCAACCCCACATACGTCATAATTCTCAGTGTCCTGCAATACTGTTGCTTATTTTCAGAGGTCCATATGTGTGTGTTTTGCACAGCTCAGATGCTAGATTCTTTTTGTGTCACTTCTGGATTATTATTACTCGAGGTGATGACGGCAGTCTGAGGTAGGGGGGTGCTGGCGGCTGTGAGGCGAACAAGTTGTGAAATGCGCTCCTCGACACAACCAGCTGACAAACGTGCCTCTGCATCCTGGTCCCAGCATTCCTCGATGGTGTCACAGAATGCCTGCAAACCCTGCAGAGATGAAGACAAGAATGTATGAGTTAAAGGATTGATTACAGCAAGATCATAGTTGTAATACAAGATGACAATATATTTGCAAAGTACAGGTGTTGGTTGAGGATTTGGGGGGAGAGGGGGAGTGGCAGTCTCTTCCAANACAAGATGACAATATATTTGTCTTCCAACACCCCCCCCCCCCCACCACCACCACCATTAAGCCAACATAAAAAAAAAATTTGTTAAAATAATCTCATTCTAAAACCCGAATGGTAAAGAACATATTCCTGACAACCCATAATAAATGTTCATGATATTGCATAATAAAAATGCAATAAAGACACTGCACCTCTATTAAAAAACAGACTTCATGACTCAGTAAGTCTAATTCTTTTATTTTTCAGATTTTTTTTAAATTGCATGATATCATTCACACAATACTGAGCGATCACTGAACACATAAAATTCAGACTATTTAAAGAACCACTTATTTTTTATTTAAGTTATATTCCAATGAGATGATTAATCAATCAATTCATCTCATTATTTCATTTGAAGGACTAGCATTTCAGAGTTCCCATCAACTCATAAAAACATATAAAGAGCCCCAACCTATAAGCTATCGGTGATACATTATTTTACTAAAATAAACTCAGTTTTAGGAACTAGGATGTAATTAAGTGTGTATCTTACTTATAACACTGACTTGGCTATAACACAGAAAACAATAACGTAAAAGAACAACAATCTTATGGCGCCACCTTCAGAATGACTTTCAACATCAAAAAGTAAAATAAACTCTGTGTCACGTTTGAATACGATGTTACACTAATGTAATGACCTCAGCAAGTTGAAATTCTATTTATTTTTCATAAATACGTTGAATTTACATCCAAATGTACCTCAGCATGCAACTACGTAATTCATTGGTGAGTAAGTGTAAGTGCCTGCGTGCGTGCCATAATATTAGCAAGATATGCCTTGAAATATGCAGCTGTTCCTTTTGATTTACTGCTTTTCATATTTTGGGAGACGGACCATCCTTGGACCAAAACTACAAGAGATTCATGACAAGTGCACTTAGTGCAGTACCAGTTCTCCATGCCACCACTGAACAAATGGAAATGAAAATATCCATACTCTCATATAATGTTTAGTTATCTATCTAAGAATCAATGGTTAAACCAATCTGACCTCTTGTCCCAATGCCACTGATTATCTCTATTTCTAACCCTTGAGCTGTTGACAAGGACAGTTCAATGAAGGACTCCTGCTAGTGTTCAAGGTAACAGGCTGATAAGGCCCGTTCCCATCAGAGCCAACTTAGACAGGAAACAGTTAACTTACGTTTCCAGTCAGGTTATGTGGGCAAAATTTTAACAACCAGAACATGCTGATCAGGATTAGCTGGGAGCAAATCTATCTCTTGTCCCACTCATCACTACTGAAATGAGCAGCGTGATGCTGTGTATGGCACATGTGTTTAAATTTTTCATGCTGCTTGTTTCAGTTATAATTCTTTAAAAAAGCTGTTTCCAATACTCACTCCATGTTTTAACCAGTGTTCTTTAAATGCTGGCCTGACTTTCTTGTGGACCACAGCATCCTGCATATCCTCCAAAGTGGGATGCTGACCGACCTCATCTTCAAAGGGGAGCTGGTAGTCCTCTACAGGGCCTGGTAGCCAAAACAAACAATAAACATATGAACCACAAATGGTTTTATAGGACACCCAACACTGTACAAGTAATAACTACCTGTGAATGTTTATACAAAAGTTTGGAAAAGGGAGTTGAGATTATGTTGTGAAGAATTTTTTTCAAATTTCTGAAATATATCTTGGGTGGAAAAAATAATGAAATGAAATGAGTGGTGTTTGTAGGCCATAGCAATTGTGGCAGCCAACTTACCATCTGCTGCTGAACACCTTGACACGATTTCCCACAATACTAAGCCACATGCGTACATGTCAATACGCATAAAGGCGTCTCTGTTAAAGTTAATAGCGCCCTCCAGTACCTCGGGAGCCATGTATCTGCGTGTCCCAACCTGCAATCAAAATGAAGAAAGCATTAATACAAATGGAAACCCATTTTTCCAGATTTAATCCACCCACGACTTTTCAGTTAAAGATGAAAAAGGAATTTACTCTATGAACTAAAAGTGTGTGTGTGTGTGTGTGTGTGTGTGTGTGTGTGTGTGTGTAAACTTGTCTACTGTCCATCTGTGATCCTTGTCTCTCTTTTTAATCAATCAATTATTACAGAAGATAATTTTTTCTTCTTTTTTGGCCATTATAATTTGATACTTGGCCATTTGTTTGGGCGTTTCAGACCAGTAAATAGCATGCTTTCCTTGACCTACACAGATCATGCTTCAACAAAAAATTACACCAGTTGATAAAAAAAGAACATGAACAACATCTATCACAAGTTGCATTTTTTTTTTACTTTTATGAAAACCAGTCCCAAAATCTGCCAGCTGGAATCAAGTTTAAGCCATCCTGGATTAAGACTTAAGACAAATAAAAAAGATGTACAGGAAATGAAAAGTACGAATGTTTTCTTAACAGTTTATTGCTTTTATGCACCCAGAGCTATTATTGGAAAGGTTGCCCACAGCAATGAGGCATTTGTTCTTTTAATTTTTTTTTCTCTTACTGGGGCATGGGTGTGAGGACTGTTGTACCCTCATTATTTCCTTTTTAATCTATTAATTTATCAAGCCCCCCCCCCAAGCATGTTTTCAACTTACCCCCCTCCCCCCCATTCTCTCTCTCTCTCTCTCTCTCTCTCTCTCTCTCTCTCAAAAAACACATGAAACCACAACATATGCTCCAGCTATGAAATATATTTTTAAAAACAAACCATTTCCTAAGTTAATTTGCAGGGACTGTTTGCAATTGTTAGCATGTTACATGTGCAATAAATTTAGTACAAAGTGCAGAAATCACGACTTACAATTCAGAGAGAGGCAAAATGTATTCAGGGCACGTTTTACTCATAGTACAGTGCTACAAAAATAGCTAGCTACTCTTGCTGGTTAAACCGAACAAATTATCCAATAAGGCACCCAGTCTTTACCTGTCCATGTGTCTCCCCTGGGCTGCTACCTGGGTCGAACTTCATTGCTAGCCCAAAATCTGCGATGCAACAAGACATGTCTTTCTTCATGAGCACATTTTTGCTTTTAAAGTCCCTATGTGCCACGGCTGGTTTCCCATCGCTCCCCTTCACCCCGGGGATGTCCTCGTGTAAATATGCAAGGCCTCTGGCCATTGTCTCTGCCATCTTTAGCATGTCATTCCATGCAATGAGGTTCCCTTTAAGGTAGTCGCACAACGAGCCAAGCTCGTGAAACTCTGTGATCAGCCACAGTTCAGTGTTGAGATTATCTCCTCTTTTCTCCGCGGCTGTGAACTTGAGAATATTCTCGTGTTTCATCAATGGTAAACTATACACTTCCTGTTCCCTCATCCAGGACTGTTTGTCTTGTATAGGGAAGATTTTCACTGCCACAAACTCATTCAATAACTGGGCCTTCCAAACAGTGCCGAAGCGCCCCCTAGCTTTCAGCTCAAGTAGCTGTAATGGTCGCAGGCTCATAAGAGGCGACGGAGGTTCCTGCAGAGGCTCGTCCGTGGGGATCTGTTGGTGATACATTATCTGCTTGTGGCGCCTCCACAGGAAGAAGGTGATGACGACCACGATGGTTATGGCAAGAAGAGGAACGAGGGAAAAGATCAAGGTTTTAATCAGCTGCTGATTCTGGTACACTGGGGCAATGGAAACCACTGGAGACCCTAGAAGACAATACAAGAATAAATGTACATACTCATTCCAAGGTTATTCATATACAACCCAGTGGTCAAAAGTAAATAACACAGCTACAATAAGGGCCCGTTTTAACCTTTTTCCTAAAAGTGGATGTTTTGGTTGCAAAACCTGAGCATCAGACATGTGAGTGACTGGGAAAGACCAAAACTCTATGGTGCACATAAGTATGAAAGATAATTTTTTTCAGAATATGCAGTAGGCCCTTCTTTTGCCGTTTTTCCTTTCCCAGCTTACACATTTACCTTTTTATCTATCTTTGTAAAACTACTTCAACAACTACTGAACATATTTTTTAAGTAAAAGGTATGAATGTAGGTCTTCATAATTGTTCAATGACCTTCATAAAAAAATAAAAGAAAATCCCACTATGGGACCTTAAAGGTAACTTTAAACAGACATTAATATCTGGTAAAATTGAAGCAAGTCAAGCAACTCAATATTGCAAAATTAAATACACTAAGAGCCAAGCAGAAACTGCATTCATTTTCACGCTTTAGCCAGCGACTCCTCTACAGAAAAGTCTGCAGCAGGCGATAAGTGCACTGAATACTCCCTTGGCATACCAATTTTGGGCAGTAACCCACACTACTGATGGTTATCTACAGATCCATCAGAGAGGGCAAATGCACTCTTAAGTTACGTACTGTGAGATCATTATCAACTTTCCTCCCTTTTGTTTAACAATAAAAAAAGACATGATGCAGATATGTTCTATTTCAAGAGTAAAAGATTTTGAAAAGTAAAAACATTAACTGGTTAGAGATATAAGAGCTGGTGTGCGAGTGCAGGTACTGTTTACCAGGGACCACATATTTCAGCTTGCAAAAAAAAAACTTGATATCAGATTTAAAATCTTGTTCTTGTGAAAGTAGTGCCCTCCTCCTAAAGCACATCTAGATTAGGAAATACATTATCCATACTCAGGGCATAGGTTGGGGGCCCTGGTAAAACCAGTATCTGGATAATAAGGAGTGGTTATAGGAGGTAATGGCATTGATACATATCTGATGCACTGCAGCCTAAGTATGAAGACACCACACTTTCAGAGGTGGGCCAGGCTTTTTATCGTTTCTAGGTTAACGCAAATGCATCACATCTGTTTGATTTGTCTGAGTATCAAAAATCTCTTGAACATTTAATTTACTTCAAATTAATTCAAATTTTGCAACAAGGTATATAAAAACATCAATAATAATTATAGCAATATTCATAATCATAATAATGAAAAAATGTTCCTCAAGATTTATGCCCCTTCAACAATGGTAGAACATCTTAACTTGGTGTCTGAATTGCTCCATGGCCTTGGGGTAGAAAAAAGATAGGAGGAATAAAAACCTCCCGAGGTGTCCTATCCACATTTTAGGAACTGGCACATTGTGTTCAATAGCAGGCTAAATTCAATCTAAAAACATAGTCCAACTGAATGCTTCAGATGATACACATATACCAGGACCTTGCAGGAACGACAAATGAGTGAGTCCCATGTCCAGACACCTACTGTCATTAAGTTGGTTCAATTTTTAAGCCAATCTAAGGCAACGGATATCTAGGCACACAACTAACATACAGGTACCAATCATGGTAACAATTGCATAAATACTAATATCCATAACATATTGCATAACTAATATCCATAACATATTGCATAAACGTGTGTGCGTGTGTTACATGACCCTCACCTGTTGGTTTTGGTGTGGTAGGTAAAGGAACATGGCTGATATTAGTATTACACATGTCCCTGTCACAACAGCAGAAGAAAACATCCTTGTCTGGTTTATCTTTATTCTCAATGCACTGTTCCTTGCCATAGCAGTCGCTGTAGTCCAACCAGCAGCCCTTCTTCAAAAGTTTGAACTCCAGGGAGGTGTTCTTCCACGAGGCATAGCAGTGGACCCTCTTCCCCGTGTCAGGAGTCTCGCAGTGCTCTGTGGTGTTAAAGCTCTCTACTTGGGAGTCATAATATTCACACGTGGTTGCTGTTGCCATGTCTGCAAAGAGTAATAAACCAAGGTCATTCTGACTGTTATGTCTTATGCTACACTTATGAATAATCTCTCAACTGTCTATAAAAAGAGAGCTAGATGCAACCAAACCAGAAATTGCTCTCTGCAAATGTTATGCAATGGAAATGCCTAGAGACAAAATTTTCTTACCGAATTGTTATTCAAGTAACAGATTCAATCATAACATCAAGCTAATATTTCTCAAAACTCGAAACTTATATATGCATAAATCCATTCCTATCTGTGTTTTGACTAAGATACTGCACGTGAGTTTTCCTTAAATCTAACCCTTGTCCAACAAAAAATCATATCAGTTTCTTAAACATTTTTCCCTTCTTTCATGTTCTTTGAATGATGTGATTTTTTCCTTCAGTCAACAGCTAATATTGAGATAGGTTTTAGCTCCAATATTTCGATGTCTATCAGGACATCTTCAATATTAGCTGTTGACTGAAGAAAAAATCACATCATTCTTAAAACTTAACACAGCTGATGAAATTCTTCTCTGACTTTTATGCTCTTTAATCCTAGGTTTGCAAACCTTTTTCTTAGTATGAATATTACCACATGCTTTTTACTGTAACTAACAATGAACATGTCTTTTCTGCATTCTAATTCCTTACATAAAAGTATGAATTTTTCTCCTGCACCGAGCGTGTGACTGCACTCTTGAAGCTGTACAGACGCTTGGGTGGTCCTTCATTCCCTCTCCTGCTACCACTATCGCACAAGGCCACAGACAAGCCAGCTGAGAGGTAACAACATAATCAATGCAATGCACTGAAATAGGTCTACTTCACGAATAACCCATCAAACCCATCGCCTCAGCTACATTCAGAAGAGGGCAATTTCAGACCAAGGAGTCTCTGTGTTATTTATTTGCCAGATATCACCCGGCCATTAACCAGTCCACAGAGGGCTTGTCTAAGCAGGCTTCTGGACATATTCTTTATCACTTTTGTATCAGCCTCTGGAATGTGGACTGAACCATTCACAGACTTGTCTTAAATCATTTCTATGGGTTAGTTATGTTAATTGCTATATTCCACCTGGGCTCTGGTTTTTGGCCAGTGTATATATAATTCCAAACATGACCGGATCTTCAAATTGATTGCTGGACAATGCCATGAATAAAATAAAACAAATAATGTTACTTAAAAGAAAAGAGTTTCTTAACAGGTTCAAAATCCATCAACATAACATCTTATTTGTAAAGTGACCCCAAAACCACAAGCACACGAACAAGGATAGCTGTAAGTTGCTCAATTGGCCTTCCTAAACCAATCACTTTCCTCTCACAGCTTGTTCTTTTCTTACTGATGAAACTTAACAGACCTCTTGGCTTTTTCTGCACCCCTGCTCACCCCTGGTGTGCCGTACCGAGGTTACGTGGCATTACCTCTGCAAGGCAGGCTAGGCTGTCTAGACGCCAGTTAATTGCTCTCAAGAGGCTACATTTTTTCTCTTCTCATTTTACAATCCCCGCTGCGCAACTACCCTTTCATGCCAGGCACATGAAAGCAGGAAAAGTGCCCAGCACTGTGCTGCTTAACGCTACCTAACTCAAACACACATAAAACAACAGAAATGTCAGCCACTCCAGCTTAACAGGCCAAAAAACACAGAGTAAACCAAAAACAAAAAATAAAGAATACAGTATCAGAAGAGAAAAAACGGAGGCTTCAAAACGGTCATTATATCTCAGCATTATAATGCTGAGCTTAAAAAGCCAATTTCCAATCATGTTCAATTTATTGACCCAAAAATCATGTCATGTTAAGTAATGATCAAGGCCAAGAAATAAGCAGCTCTATGAACCAGCACGGCACTTATCACCATATTCTAGGCGTGCTCATCCAGGTTAGAAAGTAGAAATGCCTAAGTACCCTCATGCATAATCAGATAATCAAATGAGTAAATTACATTTCAAATGACTGAGAATTTTTCTCTTTAAGGGATGACAGACCTCCTCAGGAAAATTTCTCCATATCCCCATCTAGTAACAATCATCCACTTGGCATTAGAAAAAAACTTAGAAGAGCTTCTCAGCTTAAAAACAACAACAACCTTGCTTTGTTTCATATTCAAATGTTACGATGCCCGCCTTTTTTTATGGTGTGGGGGTGTGGGGGGGGGGGGGG